GTCTGGAAAGGTCCCTGCATGGTTGGGGCGACTGGGGGGGGGTTCCGGGTTTCGGGTTTCGGGTTTAGGGTTGGGGTTTAGGGTTTGGGTTTAGGGTTTAGGGTTTAGGGTTTAGGGTTTAGGGTTTAGGGTTTAGGGTTTAGGGTTTAGGGTTTAGGGTTTAGGGTTTAGGGTTTAGGGTTTAGGGTTTAGGGTTTAGGGTTTAGGGTTTAGGGTTTAGGGTATTAGGGTTTAGGGTTTAGGGTTTAGGGTTTAGGGTTTAGGGTTTAGGGTTTAGGGTTTAGGGTTTAGGGTTTAGGGTTCAGGGTATAGGGTAGAGGGTATAGGGTTTAGGGTCTGAAGTTTGCTGCGAGTTTTTGTTGGGCCTCTCGGGTGCGAGAACCTACAAACCCTCTACACCTCTAGAACTCCAGAAAACTCGAAAACCTTGTAGAAGCCTAGAACTCTAGAACATCAGAATCCTAAACCTCAACCCTCGACCCCTTCAGGCGCCGTAAGCCCCACAAGGCTAAACCCAAAACCCTAAACCCTAAACCCCTAAAACCCTAAACCCCTTTCCCCCTAAAGCCCTAAAGCCCTAAACCCCTGGCCCTGAACCCTAAACCCTAAACCCTAAACCCTAAACCCCAAACCCCTAAACCCTAAACCCCCAAACGTCATTCCCGGGGCTACCGCCGCGCGCCTGGGTCTTGCCCGTGGGATCTTTGTAGTACCAACACCGGTCTTTGTTGAAGGCTTCCCGGTCCTGCGTAGGGCTTAGGGTTTAGGGTTTAGGGTTTCGGGGTTGGGGTTTGGGGTTTAGGGTTCGGGGTTTAGGGTTTGGGGTTAATGTTTACGGTTTAGGGTTTGGGTTTTGGGGTTTGGGGTTTTGGGTTTGGGGTTCAGGGTTTAGCGTCCGACGACTTACAGCTCGGGGGACACATCTCCGTGTATCGGCTCTTCGTTATGGTTCACGCAGAGTTCAGGGTTTAGGGTTTAGGTAGCAGACTGATTGGAGAGTCATAACTGGGAGAGTTTGGGGTTCGCGGCATGTAGGCTTTAGGGGATCTAACGACCCGGTTGCACGCCCTTGAAGTACCCAGCAACCCCTCCCCCCCACTTGCGGGAGGGATCTGAGTTAGGTTCCCTGTCTTGGGGTCACTACCCTGCTTTGGGGTAGACCCTGGAAAAAAAGTATATGCTTCTTAGGTATAAGTAGGTATAATAGGAACCCACAACCAAAATAAGTATTAAAGTATAGTACTCCAAAGCCCAGTCTAGGAAAGTGCCTTCCTTCTGTTTCGCACGTGGGGGCCTCTGCCAAGCGCGCAGCCTCCAGGCGCGGGTCAGGAACTGGCTCGGGCGCGGGCTCGCGCAGGAGCCTGCATCCAGAACCCGCCAGGGGCGTAGCCGTGTGAAACACTCTAAAAACACAACCCAAAACCCCCAAACCCCAAACCTTAAACCCCAAACCCTAAACCCTAAACCAAACCCGAAAACCCTAGACCCCAAACCCTATACCCTAAACCCTACAACCCTGACGCCCGCAAAACACGCAACGCCAGAGCCAACTTTTGACTAGGCTGCCCAGTAACCTAGGCTTAAAAAGGGTGCTCTTTTTTGCTTACAAGGGTTTAAACCCTAAACCTAAACCCTAACCCTAAACCCTAAACCCTAAACGTTTATAAGGGAACCTAAACCCCCCAAAAAGGGAATAAGGATACTACTGGGCATCCTAGCAGGGAAGCCCCGGGGCTGCCAAGGCCCCAGCCACTTAGGGCTCGGGCTTTGGAGTTTATATTTGGAGTTTAGGGTTTAGGGCTTAGGGTTTGGGGTTTAGGGTTGAGGGTTTAGGGCTTAGGGTTTAGGGCTTAGGGTTTCGGGTTTAGGGTTTAGGGTTTAGGGTTTAGGGTTTAGGGTACTTGGAAGTTCAAGTTACCGAAAACCAAAGTAAAACTGCCCACTTATAAGCCCCCCAAGCACCCTTGTGGGCCAATTGGGTGATACGTGTAGGAATATCAGGAACCAAGGATCAGGGTTTAGGGTTTAGGTTAGGCTGAATCGTTTCATCATGAAACCTAGGCAGGAACCAAGGAGGCCTCAGGGTTTAGGGTTTAGGGTTTATAGGGTCTAGGGTTTAGAGTTTAGGGTTCAGGGTTTAGGGTTCCAACACCCCTTTTTGGTTCCTAAACACTTTTTTCTATGGATGGAGAGATAGCTGCTTCTTGCAGCAGGTGAATAAAAAAGACACCACCAAGCGTTGGGGTTTAGAGTCTTCGGGTTCACGTTTTCGGGTTTAGGGCTTGGGGTCTTCGTGTTTGGGGCTTGTGGTCATAATCCCTACATCCTATGCCAGGATTTGCGGTGCTTAAGCCCGACACCCTGAAAAGTAAACGCTATGAACTCCTAAACCCTAAACCCTAAACCCGAAACCCTAAACTGAACCCTGAACCTTAACACAGCCATGACCCAACCCCAGGCTACAAGACCTACACATAAGCAAGCACCCCAGAACCCTTCACACACATTAGCCCCTGACCTCAGCCCGAATCCCTAAACCTTTGAACCCTAGAACCCCCAGACCCGAAACTCTGAAACCGCATAACCCTGCAACCCCAGACCGCGAATCCCTTAAACCTTGAATCCCTGAAACCCTTAAAACTAAATCCCAAACCAAAAACCCGAAATGCTAAACCGCGAAAAACCTAAACCACAAAACCTAAACCCTAAACCCCTAAACCCTAAACCCCAAACCCGAAACCCTAAACCCTAAGCCCCAAACCCTAAACCCCAAACCCTAAACCCCAAACCCTAAACCCTAACCCCCCCCCCCCCCCCGCTCTCCCCCCTGGGGCCCCGGACATCTCCTCTGGGCGCGCTCTCAGCGGCGTGATCGGCGTGGGAGCAGCAGTCCCTGGGAGTAGCTCGGAAGCCTCCCAGAAGCGAGACCCAACTCTCGGATCTCCCAAATACACATATACATACATACATACATATATGTTTACATTTATATGTAAATACTTATATATTGATGTATTTATATATTTTTGTATTTATATTTTCATATATTTACATATTTTATACATTTATGTATTTATATATTTGAAAAGTTGTATTGACATGTATATATTTATATTTTCGATTTATACTTATATGTATAGAGAGTGTGCAAAATATGCACATAGTGAGTATAGTGTGTGAATAAATAAATAAATAAATAAATAAATAATTAAATAAATAAATAAATATATATATATATATATATGTATGTATATGTCTATGGATGTATGTCTGTCTGTCTGTCTGTCTGTCTGTCTGTCTGTATGTCTGTATGTATGTATGTATGTATGTATGTATGTATGTATGTATGTATGTATGTATGTATGTATGTACACACACACACATATATATATATATGTATGCATATACACATGCTTTTAGACCCTTAGATGTATGTATATATACATAGAGAGAGAGGACTTGCGGCTAGTTTCCTGTTTTTCGGGTGGTCTTGTTCTTCTGCTTTTCTCCGGGAGGGGGGCGGAGGGGGAGGGGCTTACGTGGGTTTGGACGATTGAAGGCGTTAGGATGAATGGTTTCGGTCTCTTGATGGCACCCTAAACCAGCTCGACCCCCCACAGTTGTGCAAAAAAACGCCCAGTGTCTGGGTGGCCTTGAGGGGTTTAGGGGAGTTTAGGAGGTTTAAGGGGGTTTAGGGGTTTAAGGGGGTTTTACCGTGTTTCACGGTCTTAAGGTTTAGGGGTTGAGGGGGTTCAGGGATTTAGGGGGGTTTAGGGTTTAGGGATTTAGGGATTACGGCTTGGATGGTGTTTAGGATTCCGGGCTGTGCAGGCTATCAACAGTACACTTTGAAGTACACTTCCCAGAAGCAAGAACAGACATGACTTCGTGAATCCCCTGTGCCCTACACCCTCCCCCGGGTTGCTAGGCCTTGGGATTTTGGATTTAGGATTTTGGATTCAGGGGTTTAGGGTTTAGGGGGTAGAAATCGAGAAACCAGACGCCAAACAAGGTTTTGGGTTCTGGGTTCCTGAACCCTAAGCCCTAAGCCCTAAACCCTAAACCCTAAACCCTAAACCCTAAACCCTAAACCCTAAACCCTAAACCCTAAACCCTGAACCCCAAACCCAGAGTCGCCAACCACCTGAGGCGCAGCCTGACGTGGCGGAGGCGCTGTGACGCGACCGGGCTGCAAGGCCTTGGGATTTGGGGTTCAGGGCTTAGGATTTAGGGCTTAGGGTTTAGGATTTAGGGTTAGGGATTAGGGGTTTAGGGGTTAGGCTTTAGGGTTTAGGGTTTAGGACTTAAGGTTCAAGGTTTAGGGGCTAAGGGGCAATTTACTAAGTACCCTGCCTTGACCCTAAATCTTAAACCCTAAACCCTGAGCTTCCAAGTAGAAGCTGCAGGAGGGTCAGGAGGACTTTGATGGGATCCCAAGGGCTCCACGATGGCTTTCCAAGGGAAGATTTCGTAGCACATCTTCGGATCCCGAATATACGAAACAGGCCTAGGGTTTTTAGGATTTAGGGTCGAGTTTAGGGTTTAGGCTTTAGGGGTTTAGGGTTCAGGGTTTAGGGTTTAGGTCTAACGATCGGATGTCGCGTAGGGGTTTGGGGTATTGGGTTAGGGGCTTCGGGGAGGTAAAGCTTCCAAAGGAATAGCGTTAGTCAGACATACATTTCTTTTCTTCTATGGGATGGATTGAAAATTCTTCCTAAACCCTAAGCCCTAAACCCTGAAATGCTTTATACTTGAACACTCTTGGCTGTCTCTCACCGAAGAGCATCCGTCCACGCAGTGGAAGAAGGCACAGCGCACGCCACACGGAGACTGCACACACGACTGGCATCAGGATATGCTCTGAAACCAGTTGCTAAAGATCGCGTCTGAGAAAGCGCTCAAGAAATTCAAGAGATCTGTCATTTCAACTGGACGAAGACCTTGAACTGACTTGTGCAGCTCTTGTCATCACAGGTCCATGGGTCCGCTCAGCGATGACACTATTGAATTGCACAGTTCGTTTTCTTTCGCTGAATCAGGTCATCACTTGACGTATTCTGCCTTGTAGCCTCTGCACTCAAGCGACCAAACACTGTCTGAAAGACTTCTTCACCAGTTTCAGCAGCATCAACAAGAGCCGTGGGATCGGAGATGCCAACTATCTCACAAGCTGCATGAAAGTCCAGCAATGTTTTAATTACCCTCCATACTGCATTTTGTCCGGAGTGCAAAAACCTTTTCGCATCTGCGGGTAATGACAGGGTCCTCGCGAATGGATACTGTTGGCAAGGAGCTACTACCGGCTGAAGTAGGCTGGCTGCGGTTGGCGGCATGGAGAAAACGACAAGCCGCGCCATACCTGCACCTGCCACGCAACCAAAACCTGCAAGGCTTCGAACTAGTTCTACTGCGACTCCGAGGACGAGCTTGACTGCGCGGCCTCTCACCTCTAGAACCTTCACGATGGCATCCTTCGTCCCCATCGGGGCCGGGATCGTTGTACATTTCGTCCCAATCAGGGCCAGGATCGTTGTACATTTCACAAGCCAAAGCAAAGTCTGTGATGCCGTGATCAGAAGCAAACTCCGCGACGTCTGCACCATACCCCATGGCGCCAGCCCCTGCCGGGAGTTTGGCACGAGGAGCGAGGTTGAGAAGAGCCTTCAGTCAGCCAGGTTGCTGCTTGAGCCAACAATCAATCGCACGAAGTTCCCAGCTATCAGGCTGTCAACCTTCGATCAATCGAACTTACCCTGAACCCTTCACTTCACAGACATGAAAGCCCTCGAAACCGTAAACGCTTAGCCTGAAGCCCTCAAAAGCCCTGAGCCCTTAAAAGCTGCAAGCCCTATAAAGAACCCTTACACCCTTCAACCCAAGACCCCAACAAAAACCTGACACCCTAAGCACTAAGCCCTTAAACCCTTAAAGCCTTAAACCCTGAATCCCTCACACCCTATAGGGCACTATAAACCCTAAACCCTAAACCCTAAACCCTAACCCCTAAACCCTAAACCCTAAACCCTAAACCCTAAACCCTAAACCCTAAACCCTAAACCCTAAACCCTAAACCCTAAACGAAATCGGAGGCCCTCGCGCCAGGGGCCGGTGTGTTGGCCGGCGCGGTCCCCGGTGGCCCTGGTCCTGGGATCTCACCTGAGGGAGGGGCCGCAGAAAGCCATAAGGTAGGGCTCGTTGGGCTTGAGGTTGGGGTTTAGGGTTTAGGGTTTAGGGTTTAGGGTTTAGGGTTTAGGGTTTAGGGTTTAGGGTTTAGGGTTTAGGGTTTAGGGTTTAGGGTTTAGGGTTTAGGGTTTGGGGTTTAGGGTTTAGGGTTTGGTGTTTGTGGTTTGGGGTTTGGGGTTTAGGGTTTAGGGTTTAGGGTTTGGTGTTTGTGGTTTGGGGTTTGGGGGTTTGGGGGTTTGGGGTTTGGGGGTTTGGGGGTTTGGGGGTTTGGGGCTTTGGGGTTTTGGCGGTTATAAAAAGCATTCGTTCCGAAGGAAGTATGACGGGATCCTCACTGCAAGCAAGGGCTTGAGGGTTTGGGGAAATTTTGGCTCTAGGGTTTTAGGTTTGGGGTTAAGTGTCTTAGCCTTAGAGACTGAGGTGTTTTTAAACCCTAAACCCTAAACCCTAAACCCTAAACCCTAAACCCTAAACCCTAAACCCTAAACCCTAAACCCTAAACCCTAAACCCTACTTTAGGGTCTCTGAGTGTTGTTGTGGGTTTCGGGCTTTGGGACTCTGGGCCTTGGGGCTGAAGACATGTAGGGTTTGGGGGCTTTACTTGGAGGTTCATGAAACGTAGTAATCCAATTATAACTGTATACTTATAACCCAAGTATAACTGTATACTTATAACTGTATACTTATAACCCAACTATAACTGTATACTTATAACCCAAGTATAACCCTACTAGGGTACTTGAGGGGCTTATAGGTGGGTTATAACTGCACGTTTGTCATTTTGCTGTTTCTGGACTCGCCTCGTTTCCAAAAAAGACGTCCGGTCAGAGCGAAACGCGTTTCAAAAGGTTTAGGAACTTAGGGTCTAAGGCTTAGGGGTTGGGATCTCAGAAAGAGATTTTGGAATAAGGTTCAGGTGTACGCAATAAGAAATTAGGGGGTCGCGGTAGGACTGGGCGCACTTTGAGCACAAGGCTTGAAGCTGTACATGGGGCTTGAGTGGTGCGGGTCGAGCAGCTTGCTGTGGAACCCTAAACCCTAAACCCTAAACCCTAAACCCTAAACCCTAAACCCTAAACCCTAAACCCTAAACCCTAAACCCTGAACCCTGAACCCTAAACCCTAAACCCTATGTGGGCGTACGAGAGTTGCTTTTGTATGGTGTTTGCCGAATGCCACCCCTTGAAGTTCTCGAGCTGTCTGCCAGGGCTGCCAGGGGCAAAGGGTACCCCCTTAAGAAGAGGTTTAGAGTTTAGGGTTTAGGGTTTAGGGTTTAGGGCTTTAGGGTTTCAAGGGCTTAGGGTAAAACAATGCCGAGATACAGCTCAGGGATTGACGGGGGTCTTGGAGGACTGGCTGTGCCCACTTCCATACCGCATTGTCACATAGAGACCCTCCCAGCGCTCGTAAGATAGGTCTCCAAGTCCTAAACTCCAAACCCCAAACCCCAAACCCCAAAACCCCAAAACCCCAAAACCCCAAACCCCAAATCTACACCAGCCACGTTGTCAACGTTTCGGCAGCCAAAGGTTCACGTTGGTGTAAACCCAAAACGACACAGCTGACTCTTGAACCTGAAACGGGGGTTTCCGAAAATAGGGTTAAGAGCTTAGGGTTTCAATGCATTCTTCTGCGGGGCATCTTTTGAAGGTTACCCCCACCCCCTCCCCCCACCCCCCCCAATCCTGAAACCTTGGCTCGTCCCTTGGGGCAGGGTTCAAGGTTCGGGATTTCGAGCTTTGTCTAGGATTCAGGATGCACAGTTTCTATATTCCCCTTAGAACCTCAGCAAAAATGATATTTCTAATATCCTCTTGGGTTTTATATAATTTCTATATTCCCCTTAGAACCTCAGCAAAAATGATATTTCTAATATGCTCTTGGGTTTTATATAAACAAAACAAAAAATAATTCCCAAGGGGGCTTTCGAGGTGACCAAGCTGCCTCCCAGCATGTCGCGCGTGATGGTCTGCGGGGTTTGCGCCTGGCACAGGTGCCAAGGTCATCTGGGGTTTCGGGTTTAGGGTTTAGGGTTTAGGGTTTAGGGCTAACATCGAAGTACTTTTTTGGGTACGCTTGTGCAGGCTCATACGATAAGCATTGAACACGAATGCTATTCTGGAGCGCAGTTTGATTATTGGGGTTTATCAGCTCACCCCCCCCCCCCCCGTAGTTAACCTGGTTTTAACCCAAGTAATCAATCGCTACCCATGAACATCATGAGTACGCATAACTAACCGCCAATGCCACTCAACTTTAGGGTTTAGGGTTTAGGGTTTAGGGTTTCGGGGGCAAGCTGGTTCTGAGTTAGAAATCTGCAAAACGACTACCCTACGTACCAGAACTCCCTCCTATGAACCACTTGATGCTCCGTGGGCACGCAGAAGGGTTGAGAACAAACAAGGTTATAACCGGTAGGACTGTAGTTCCCTATTTTTAGAACTATCCATGCACCTCTAAGTACACAACCCTAAGCCCCTCAAGCCGTCAACCCTGAACTTCAAGCCCCTATACAGACAAAACCCTCAATCCTCCTCAGAACCAGCGAGAAAAAAACCCGGGGGCATCTAGGTGACCCGGCCGCAGCCGAAGGCAGCGCGGTGGCAAGGTTGACAGACGCCCTGCGATTCCCAAGATGAGAGAAAGGGAGAGAGAGAGAGAGAGAGACAGAGACAGAGAGACAGAGACGGAGACAAAGACAGGGACAGGGACTTGACGGAGATGAGACAGAGATGAGAGAGAGAGAGCGAGGGATGAGAGCGAGAAAGAGAAAGATAAAAGGAGAGAGAGAAAGGGATACATATATATATATATATAGAGAGAGAGAGTACCTCCCCGCCCTGGAGAATCTCCCTCTGGAGGGTGATGGGCTCAAATTTCAAGTGGTTTTGGTGCATGTGAATGTCTAGTCTGTGAAGGCTTAAGATTTCCACATGCAGAGCGTGAGCGTTTGACATGCCTCCAGATGTATCATCTTGGCTCGAGCCAAGTGCATTAGGAGTCATAGTATGAGTAATTCAATTGTCGCATTCTTGCTTCTCAGAATCTGTTCGCTTTATTTTGTGAGTTGGTACGTAATCTTTGCTGGAAAGCAATTCTTTTCTAGCAGGGGGCCGGAGCGGGAAGGCGGAGGGAGGGGCGGGAGGAAGCGGGCGGGCTGATCTACAGCCTAAAGACCCTAAACCCTAAACCCGAAACTCGAAACCCTAAACCCTAAACCCTTAAGACTTCACGGTTTGCGCGAAAGATTCAGAGCCAAGGGCTCGAAGGACCAGAGGCCCTCGGCTGGGGGCCTCTGTGGAGAAGGAGGCACATCAGCAGCCTTTCAGAGCTTTCTAGGGGGTTTAGGGCATTTAGGGTTTAGGGTTTAGGTTTTAGGGTTTTGGGCTTCGGGTCGAGGGTTTAGGGCTTTAGTGAGAGGTTTAGGGCTCAGGGTTTAGGGCTCCCCTCCTGTAGAAGACCAAGGCATGATGCAGCGAGTCTGGCGCTTGTAGAAGGGTTTAGGGTTTAGGGTTTAGGGTTTAGGGTTTAGGGTTTAGGGTTTAGGGATTCCAGGGAGGGTGAAGGCCTACTTGGAGGTTCATATGGATACTTCTACGTAAGGCTACAAGCAGGGAAACTAAGGTTACAACCACAACAACGGCACTTATAATCTTACTTAAGAGTACCCATGAACCTCCAAGTAGACGTAAGCTTTTCGGTGTAGGGCCCCAAGCCCCGCCGAAATCCTCTCCACCCCTAAGCCCTACACAAAAAAAAGGGATAGGGTTCAGGGTTTAGGGTTGGGACATTCCCCCTTATAATGACAATCCTTAGTAGGGATTCTAATAGGCTAAGGACTGCCAGAAAAAGGGGGAACATCCCAAGCTTAGGGTCATAACCCTGTGCCTGAGATCTGATCCACCACTCCAACATCAACCCGAGTTTGGAGCTCAGAGCTCGGGATGTCGTGCTTTGGGCTTTGGGCTTCGGACTCGAAATTGGTTTAGGGTTTAGGGTTTAGGGTTTAGGGTTTAGTGTTCAGGGTTTGGGGTTTAGGGCTTAGGGTTGCTACCTCGAAGATCCTTCGCCCTGAAGCCTTTAGCCGCCGTGCCTCTGGTGGCACTGGCGGCACCAGCGGCGCCACTGCTGGTGGCTTCGCCGGCGCCGGCGCTGGCAAGGGTTTGCGGGCTTTGATCAGGGTTTTGGGTTTGGGGTCTCGGGTTTAGGGCTAGGGTTTAGGGTTTAGGGTTTAGGGTTTAGGGTTTAGGGTTTAGGGTTTAGGGTTTAGGGTTTAGGGCTTAGGGTTTAGGGTTTAGGGTTTAAGGTTTAGGGTTCAGGGTTTAGGGTTCAGGTTTCAGGGTTCAGGTTTCAGGGTTCAGGGTTTACGGAGGTTTGCGTTGGGCATGTAAGGGTTTTAGTATATCTGGTGGGAGCTCCT